AGGAGCAGCCTTGCAGCCTTTCCCCCTCCAGCCTGGTTCTGGCTGTTGCCAGCATTCTAGGAGTTCTCTAGACAGGATGAAAGGCGCTGCAGGGATACAGGGAGGGTGGGAGAATGGAGTTTGTTTCCAGGTAGAATTTTGGGACATACCTGGCCTTGTCTGGGAGCAATCAGGGTCCAGAGTCAAGGGCTAGGATGGGCTCTGGGGCCTACTGTGACCTCATCCCTCTCACCTGGCCCCAGCTCAGGCCATTCCAAGAGCCTCCCAGCCTAACAGCAATGTGTGGCTATCCAAGTATCCCAGACAGAGGATTGGAGGACTGCACCTGTGTTTGGGGGACAGCCACCCCTCCCCCTAAGCACCTGCTCTGACAGCACAGGATGATGTCAACAAGGGACTTCCATGAAGCCCAAGGGGGAAGGACAGTGGCAGTGGGGGCTGAGGTCTGGACTCTGCTTGAAGACTGACAATGACGGGTGGGGGCCCCTCACCCACTGTGAGTTCTAGGAAGAGGGTGAGCATTCCTGTTGACTGTGGCCCATTGTGTTGGCAGAGTCCAGGCCAGTCTGTGCTCTTGTTGTGACCCCAGGAGGGAGTCCTTTGCTGGATCATCTACCTCATGGGATGGTACTGACATGCAGGTACCACTTCCCTGCCAAAAACAGACTCCAGAGTAAGACTGGCATCGCTCACCAGGGTAATTATTGGTTTGGGTTCAATTTCCATTCAAAACAGTAATCCCAGCCTGAGCTGGGTGTCAGATCTGAAGGTTGATTATTAGTAACATTTATCAACAGCCTCTCTCAGCTTCAGGCAATTATAGCTCATCTGCCATTCCTGCTCCCAGTCATGCAAAATTGCCAGCTTCTTCCCTGCCCACCCCCTCCATTCCCCTCTCCCCTTCTTCTCCCATCTCCTCCCCTTAGCAGACAACCTGACTGAGGGCAGGAGGTGGGTGCCACCTTATGACTCACTATCACCCCGTGTGGAGGGGGTCCATGTGCACGCTAGGCACCTGTGCTCCCCAGCAGCAATCTTCATGTTGCAGTCTTGTGAAATCCGAATCTGATTCTATCAGAACTGAGAAGAATCTGTGGAGGGGACAGATGGGAACTCATGTCTCCCGGCTCCTTGTCGCATGATGCGTTTTCAATGGCAGTGTTTGTTCTTGCTCCTGATTCAGTCTGTCCCTCCCCTCCAGGGCTGAGACTAGGGTGAGGCTAGAGAGGCATTGACTTTAAGTGCAACATTCAAGGGATCTCGAACAAGCTCAATGATTAAGATAAATGATATTTCAATATAGTGTTTTTTAAAAAATCAAAATGAATGCAAAACATACACAACAAAATCAAACTTTTAATACAAACAAGATACAACACTGGATTTGCAGGCCTTGGCCTCACTTACCTTACCCTAACTCCAGTCTTGTTTATCATGGACAGTTTTGCTTTGATTTGATGGAAGTATTAAATCTCTTGGCTGCTGAGTTTTTTGGCAAATCTTTAAATTCTGCGCCCCAGGTAAGAGCTTCATTCAGCTCACCCTGGCGCTGGCCCCACTGTTCTCACTTCCCGCTGGGCCCTAATCTCCTGCTCCCTTCAGCTCTCACTGTCTACTACCTCAGGCTGGGTGGCTCAGCTTCTCTCTTAGCAGGTGCCCAGGGCAGCAGGACACCCAGAGGGACCCTCCATGGGCTGTCCTTCCAGGGTGCCCATCCTCCATTCCATCCCACTGGACGCTGCTTCAGCTGTCAGACACCTCGGGGAGGGCCTACAGGTTGCCAGGGTAACTGCTGTGATAACTGGAGGACAGAACATGCTGATCTTGCTCTGCTCCTAGAATCACATCCAGCCAGGGCTGGATGAGTGCAAGCAGGCACGCCTGACAGTGTCCCTGACACACTGATCCAAAACGTCGCTGGACATGTATGGAGGTGGAGAACATTCCATGTACCTGCATTCCTCCAGGGAGAGGACAGCATGAGGCTGGAGGAAAACTGTGGTGATCTGTTTGTGACAGGGAGGTGAGAGGCTGAAGTAGACATGAATGCTTGCTAACCAGCCTTCTGCAGAGGGTAGGTCTGATTCGCTGAAGGGCTTCTGTTCTGCTGAGCAGGGTCTGTCAGCGGGGGGTGCACCTGTCACCAGAGAATACCCTCTCCCTGTCCTCCCCGGGCTGTGCTCCAGTAGCCTAAAACGTAAACAGACATTTCAGAAAGATCAGTGTTGAAGGGGTGCCCAAGATGCCAAATTACATCTGGGACTTGAGACACTGTTATGTCAAGATCCAGGCCTAGGCCAGCTGGTCACTCAGTGTCCAGATGCCTGTCACAGTGGGAGGCCTGAGGGTCTCAGGGGACATCTATCAGAAGCACCTCTGCCCTGCCTGTTCCACTCGGTGATCTCCCTTCTGAGTCCCCACTGTAGTACAGAACCAGCTGGTCATCTAGCCTGGCAGTAGTAAGTCATTCTATTTTCCTGCAGATAGGAATACATGGTTCCTATTCCTCCTATGCACTCTGCCACTTACTGGGCAAGTGAATTCCCCTCTCTGAGCCCTAGGTTCCCCTTTTGTGAAATATCAATAATAGCACCCTTCTTAGAAGGTTGTATTCACCATTCAATGTACTAATGCAAAGCACTGTGACAGACTGAAGAGTCATGTTCTGTGGGGTCCTGGAGGACAGAACTAGGACCGAAGGGAGGTGTGTTTGAGCTTTAGGTGAAGTAGCAATGGCCAACTACAGAGATGGAGGGACCACTCTGGCAAGAGCAAGCACCCTGATGCTCAGAGCGTGTATGAGGAGGTTTCATAATCACCATCCAGCAGCTTAGCCTCAAAAGGGCTGCCTGCCTCAGGGAGCTATGACCCTTGAGAGATGGGGTTTATCCAGCTGTGAGGTTCTGTTTGAGCATCATTCCTCAGTTGTCCTCCAGGGGGTCATGGCATAAGTCTCAGTAGCACGGGCCCCATGGTCCAGCCTTAAGGTAAGAATGGACCTCCCTGGAAGAAGCTGGCTTCATCTACAGTTGATAAGTTCACTTTTTTTTCTGGTCCACTTTCCTTGGTTTAACCCTATGACCAAACCTGAGAGCTTTGGCAGGAAGGAAACCAGGGAGGATGTTGTGCGTGAGAAAGTGCTGGCCTGAGCATCGACTTTGAGATGTCCCTCTACTCTGACTGGAAGGTCCCATTCCACCTGTAGCAAGACAAAAGACACATGAAGGAGAGTTTCTGGGAGATTGAGGATGAGGTCTCCAGTTGCAGGTGCATGCACTCGTCCACTTCCCCACCTGGAAGGTGCTGGCATGCAGGGTGTCTGTGCATGTGCCCCTTGCACTGACTCCCTTGAGACTGGCTGTGCAGCTTTGAGGCATGTGTCCAAGCAGAGAGAATGGAAGACCCCATATTGGGAGCCTTGGCTTTGACCTTTCCTTTCTCTGAGCCTGATTTTCCCAACAGTGTTACAGGAGGGGAAGGATGAGATGCCCTTCTCAGCTGATGTCCGTGATTCTTGTATTTTCTGGAGGCCATGAGTGTGAACAGAATGTGCTCACTTTTGCACCCTTTTTCCATGACCACTTACAGTCTGTCCGCTTAGCAGATGAGGGTTCTGGGTTTCCAGGGTCCATTTGGGGTAGGGTCAGCAGTGTCCAGCTTTGCATCTGGGTATCACTTTTCCTTCTGATATTTGAAATGAGATCCTGAAGATTCCTAATTATTGTTCCAAGTTCTCGTTGAAAATCTGGGTGTAATTTTTATAAGAGCATGGCCGAGGATGGACCCAGAGGGGAAGTAGTGGGGCTGGAGGGAGGAAATGGAGAGACAGAAGGTGATGTTGTCATTAGGAGTTAAAGCCGGTGCCTGGTAGTAGATAAGGCTGGACAGTTGGCAGGATCATTGGGCAGACTAAAGCAGCTTAGATTCTGTCCAGAGGCAGTGGGGGTCTTCTGTAGTGTGTAAGTGGGCTGGGAGGACATGATCTTAGGAAGCTCACTCTGGTGTCAGTTGCAGGATGGATTTGGGAGGAGCAAGTTAGACATAGATGCCCATCATGATGCCAAGATCTGGGCAACAGACAGGAAGGCTCTTGCTCAGAAGTGGCTCCAGGGAAGGTGAGGTGCATAGAATTGAGAGATGCTCAGTAGATGGCATCAGCAGTGCTTGATGATTGTCTGGATTGGCAGAGGAAGGTGGACAGGGAAAAGCAGAAAGCTACAATGGTGCCTCAAGGGGCTAAGTGATGTCACTCACAGAGACAGAATGTATAGAGTGAATGTTCAGACTCACAGGAAGTCCAAAACTGCATACCCCAATGTGAGGTGCTGTGGGACATCCGGGGTGCAGGGTCCAGAGAACAGGTAGGTAGAGTTTAGAAGAGGGCTGGGTCCACGATGCAGACTTTGATGTTCTCAATGTAAGAGTTGTGGGAGATGAGGCCTTGTGAGTGGATGGGAACACCCCAGGTGCATTTCAGGTGAAGCAAGAGGTCAAGAGGCTGAAGACACAGATGAGCAAATCCTAGATCTTCCATCAGTCCCTAGAAGGCACGATGTGTGCCCTTCCCAGCACACAACCTGAGCCCTAGCACAGAACTGGCCACAGAGAGGGCAGCGGTGAATGTGTCCTCTGTGGTTCCTCCAGATGGAGCCTTTGTCCTCAGTGCACTTGGCTCTGCCAGGGTTGCTATAGTAACCTACAGATGCAGAGAGACTTGGCCTCCCCATTGCCATGGAAACCAGCAATTGAGTGTCCCTGTGTGGCATGGCCACTGAGACCTTGAGGATTCAGTCTGGTCCTGATGGGTTTGGGAGGGAGACTGCACCAGAAGACGTTTCCATGTCCTAATTAATGGGTGATGGTGGTTGTTAGTCTGACTGTTGCCACGGTGATGAAGGGAGACACCCAAGTGGGCTTGTGCTGGTTTCAGTACTGAGGCGAATACAGGGAATTTCAACAGGCTCCAGGTCTTACTGTGCAGCCTGAAGTGGGGCCATCCTTCAAACCCGCTCCATCCTCTGGCCACAATGGGGGCCAGGACACCTTTGCCTTCTTTCTGGGTTTCTTTCTTTGCCGAGACAGGGATTTTGTTCCCAGGAGGCAATCCCTGGCCCATGGGACCTCAGCATTCAAAGCAACAACACAGGAAACCTGGGCCCCTGAAACGGGGCCACCGAGGAGATCGGTAAGCTTTCAACATCCTGCCTTCAGCCCATGGGCCCAACCCCTGCGTCAGCTCCACCCACCCACCCTCACTGACCTCAATCCTTTACAGTCCCAAGGCCTCCCCTTCCTGATGGCGCTGCTCCCCCATCACCACATGGAGCCCCATAGGTCATCCCCCGAAACCCCTCATTCTCCAGACAGGTGATCAGGGAGGCTTCATTACTCCAGGAGCTGCCCAGGATCTCAAGGGGGTCCTCCACCACGGGAGTAAGGGCCTCTCCCCCAGCCTCCAGGGCTCTGGCAGCTCCACACTCCAGCCCTCTGCCTCTTCTGGAGGGCTCCTCCTTCCAGCTTCGGCCTGCCGCCCCTCCCCCCAGTGCTTCATTTCCACAGCTTGGGTCATCACTGCCCTTGTCTGGACTGCCTACCTGCCTGCCTGCCATCCAGGGCCTACAGAGTGAGCACTCTGTGAAAGTCCCTCTACCCTGATCCGTCACGTAACTCACCTACTGAGGCAGCTGAGACTAGGGCACTGAAGGAGGCCTTGAGTGACCAGGTCTGGCCAGGCAGTGGGCAGGGATGATGAGGTGAGGCTGCAAGGGTGCGGAGAGTCACCCCTTCTTTTCCTCCTCAGGAGAACAACCAAGAGGAAGTACTGGAAGGAAGGAAGGGAGATCGCTCGGTGAGCTGGAGGGGAGGAGGGCGTGCCGGCCCTGGGGAAGGGCCAGCCACAGGAGACTGCGAGGGAGGTGGGGGGAGGACGTGGGTGGCTCAGGGGCCATGAACCCCATAATGCGCCTGGGGGTGTGTGTGTGAAATGGGGTTTAGGGGAGGGTGTGACCACTGGGCAAAGCCTGCTCTTACTGTGTGTGACTGTTGTGGCCTTGGTTTGTCCCTCTGGGATCCTCCTGTGGTCTTTTTGCCCTGACTCTAACCGGGTGGTGCTGATGAGCAGGCCCAGAGGCCTGGGCTCTGTTCACCAGCCTGTCCAGGGACTCTTAGCCAAGCCACCTGAGAAAGGGGGTGCCCTCTACATGTGGTCGCACCATAGCTTAGGACCACAGAGGGAATCATGGTGGCAGAGCCTCCAGCCCCTCTGCCCTCCCATTGCCCAAACACCCAGATGTGGAGATGCCCTGCCCCAGGGGTGCCGTCCCAAGCCTGCTTTCTAATGTCAGGAGGTGGGTCTTGCCTAAGGCTCCTACCCAGGACCTCATTTGTTGTTTACACATGTTGGGGTCCCAAGGATATGTTTCTTGGCCCATGGGATGGTCATAACTGCCCTGTGAAGGAGGGGGTGCTGTCCTGTGTACAGATGAGGCAAAATGACAGGATCCTGTCCCCAGCTGCAGAGTGTCTGCTGAGTGTCCCCAACACCTGGGAAGTCTGCCTGTCCTTCCAAGGAACCAGGCCAGAGAAACAGGGAGCACCTGGGGCTCTGCTTTGCCTCCTCAGATGTCAGTTCTGGGTTTCTGATGGGGTTTGTGATGATGGTGCCCTAAAGGGATGCTCTGTGTAGAGCCAGGGGTCTTGGGTATGGCTTTCATGGCAGGGATCTCATTGCTCTCCTTTTCTACACATGGCCTCAAACCAGGTTGACTTTTTAGCCTAAAGAAAATCTCATGCAGAGAAAGACAGTGGTGTGGGGGAGGGTGTATCACTTGAGCCTACTTCACAGGCTCTTGGGAAGGAGCAGTAGGAGGAGGAGGGGTGCAAGTTGTGAACCCCAGAGGGGTGACTCTGCTGTGATGACTGTTAATGAGGCTTGAGACTTCAACTCATTTGTCGTGTGCAGCTGGTGTATTTTGAGTGATGTAAGTTGATGACACCCTCCTTCCTGAACCCACTGTCAAGGCTGCAAGAAATTTTTGAGATCCTACATCCAACCCCTTGTGTAACAGGCAAAACAGGCCTCAGGTTCTGAACCAAGGTCACACTGCAAGTTTGTGGTAGACTCAGAACTAGAACACAGGCCCCCTGCTCAGGGTTCTTTCTCTGTACTGCAGGAGAGGAAACCAGCATCACTGTGTGGGAGTCAAGGGGCTTCTCAGGAGTGAGTAGTCCTTTGGCCATGACCTTGCCTTATGTGAATGGAAGTTCTGAGCATAGTGTGAACTGTGTGTCTACAGCTGATGGCTGCCTGGCAGGGACTCTTGGCTATACTGGGTTTCTGGGCTGACTCATTTCTCAGGTTTGGTATCTCTCTACTTCATGTTGAAAGGTTCTTCCCTGTTGAAAGGCTCTGCCAGTATCCCTTAATATCAGGTAAAACTGCACAGTTCAAGATGGTGCCAGCAAGCATGATGTTTCCCCCATGGTGACACAGGGCTGTAAGTAGGGAGATGAGGAGCCAGGCATCTTTGGGGTTGAGGGCTGACTTATAGGACCCTATCTCCGTAGGTTTGGGATAGTCATAATCAATGGCAAAGTTAATGATCCAGCCACTTAGGGATATAGCAAAGCAAGATAACCTTGGCTTGTTGTCTTCAACTTGTTGAAGAATGTAATCTCCATTTCATCCACTCATTACTTGGCATCTTGGGATCGTTTGAAACTGTTCCACCTGTGAAATCCTAATCTTCAGAATGTACCTCTTATGCATTCTATCTCCCATACCTCCACCATGTCTGTTCATAGAGACCTCAGGCCCTTGAGCCCTAGTTTTTCTCCTCACTCTGAATCAACTCTTGTTCCTATTCTATCTAAGATCTGCTGCTTGTCACTTCAACTGCCCACCATTCACCACCTGGCCTCTTAGTCTCCTACCTCAACCTTAGAACATGGTAACTGCTTGCTTTCTTTAGTCCTTCATGAATTGACATTAGTCCAAATTCATGGTCTGCGGCCTCCAGCGAGCCCCCAGCAATGCCCAGCAGTCCTGTGACCTGGACCTGCTCCAGTTCCTCCACAACTATTTCAAAGCTCTCACATTACCCTCTTATTGGGATATAATTCATATACCATACAAGTTGCCTGTTTATAGTGTACAGTTCAATGGTTTTAAGTTGTATGACCATCACTACAGTCTATTTTAGAACATTTCCATTACTGTCCCCAATGAAAACCCATGCCCATTTGCAGTCTCGCCCTTTTCCTACACCCCCCAGCCTTAGACAGCCATTAATCTATTTTCTGTCTTTATAGTTTTGCCTATTCTGGACATTTCATATAAATTGAATCACATAATTTGTGGTCTTTTGTAACTGACTTCTTTCCTTAGTATAATATTTTCTAGGTTCATCTATGTCATAGCATTTATCAATACTTCATTTCTTTTTATTGCTGAATAATATTCAATTGTATGGGTATACCACATTTTCTTTATCCATTCATCAATTGATGAACGTTTGGATGTTTCCACATTTTAGCTATTATACGTAATGCTCATATAAACTCTTGTGACCAAGTTTTTATATGGACATATGTTTTCACTCCTTGGGTATATGCCTAGGATCTATGTTCAACCTTTTGAGGAACTGTCAGACTGTTTTCCCAAGTGGTTGCTGCATTTTACATCCCCACCAGCAGTATATGAGAGTCTCAAAGTTTTTTCACATTCTTGCCAATACATGTTATTATCTGTAATTTTAAGTATAGTCATCCTAGTAAGTATGAAGTAGTATCTCATTGTGGTTTTGGCTTACATTTCGCTGATGACTAATGATGACGAACAATGTGCTTATGTTTGTATATCTTCCTTGGAAAAATGTCTATTCATATCTCTTGTCCATTTTTTAAATTGAGTTATTATTTAATTAATTGAGTTATTATTATTATTGAGTTGAAGCATGCTTTATATATTCTAGGTACAAACAAGACACTTATCAGATATATGGTTTGCAGATATTTTATTCTTTTCTGTGGTTGTCTTCACTTTCTTGATGGTGTCCTTTGCAACACAAATATTTTACATTTTTATGAAGTCTAATTTATCTAGTTTCCTTTTGTTGCTTGTGCTTTTGGTGTCACATGTGAGAAACCGTAAGATTTCTTAACGAAGATTTCTGCCTATGTTTTCTTCTAAGAGCTTTATAGTTTTGGCTCTTTCATTTAGGTCTTTGATTCATTTTGAGTTAATTTTGTTATTGGTGTGAGGTAGGGGTCCTAACTCATTCATTTGAATATGGATATTCAGTTGTCCCAGCACCATTTGGTGAAAAAAACGTTTTACCGTCATTGAATGGTCTTGCTATCCTGTTGTAAATCAGTTGACTGCAAATGCAAGTTTATTTCTGTGCTCTCAATTCCACTGCATTGACCTATATGTCTATCTTTATACCAATACCACATTACCTTGATTACTGGAGCTTTGTGGTAAGTTTTGAGATCAGGATGAGTTCTCTACCTTTGTTCTTTTTCAAGATTGTTTGGCTATTCTGTATCCCTTAATTTTTTCTTACTTATTTTAGGATCAGCTTGTCAATTTCCACAGAGAAGCCAGCCAGTATTCTAATGGAGATTGGATTGAATCTGTAGATCAGTCTGGAGAGTATTGCCATCTTAATAGTCTTTTGATCCGTACGCACAGGATATCTTATTTATTATTTAGGTCTTCTTTAATTTCTTTCAAAGAAGTTTGTAGTTTTCAGTGTATAATACTGCACTTCTTTTTAAAAGTTTATTCCTCAGTGTTTTATTCTTCTTGATGCTTTTGTAAATTGAATTGTTTTCTTAATGCAAGTGTATAGAACTGTGTATAACTGATTTTGTGTAATGATCTTGTATCCTGCAAACTTGCTGAACTTGTTTATTAGTTACAATGATGTTTTAGTGGATAACTTAGATTTTCATTACACAATATTATGTCTTGTATGAGTAGAGATAGTTTTACTTGTTCCTTTCTAATCTGGATGCCTTTTGTTTCATTTTCTTGCCTAATCATCTTGGCTAAAACCTCTAGTACAATGCTGAATACATTTGTCTAGAATGAGCATCTGCCCCACCGCCCTTTTTCTGGCTGCTCTTAAGATTTTCTCTTTATCGTTGGCTTTCAACAAATGATTATGTGATGTCTTGGTATAGTTTTCTTCATGTTTCTTCCACTGAATGTCTTTTGAGTTTCTTGGATATTTGAGTATATGGTGCTCATTATATTTGAAAAAACATTGGGCATTATTTCTTCTATTTTTTTCTGCGTTTTCCCCTGAAACGCCAATTATGTGTGTTAATTTGCTTAATGTTGTTCCAGAGTTCACTGATACTTTGGTTTTCATTTTTCAGTATTGTTTCTGTGTTTTATTTTGAAATATTTCTACCTATACCTTTGAATTTACAAATCTTTTCTTTGCAGTGTCTAATTCCATGAAGTATATATTTTATTTTAGATACTATGTTTTTCATCTCGAAGCTTGACTTGCATCTTAATTATATCTTTCATTTCTGTCCTCATCATAGTCATATTTTCCTCTACCTTCTTTACATGGAGTAAGTTTATAATAGCTCTTTTAACATTTATGTCTGCTAATTCTGTCATCTGTGTCATTTCTAGGTATCCTCCTACTTGTAGTGTTTTTACCCACAACACTTCTAACACTAAATGTGTGGTTTCTTTCCACACCAACAACCAATTTGGCGACTCTCTGGATGCCAACTGAGGGTTCAGCAATTTAATTTGATTCTGTTACTAATTATAATAATTAGTTATTGCAGACCCCACAGATTAAGGGTTTAGTCCTGCAAGAC